AAAGACAAAGGGTTAGAGTAAGCAGACTTGTCTGACACCAGTCCTTACTTGGAGTGCATCTGTCAGTTGTCCTCCATGCACCACTTTGCACTGCAGTCCGTCGTATGAATTCGGGATGATGTCGACGATTTTTTCAGCTACTTCATAGTGTCGAGTAAATATCCTTAATGTTCTCCTGTCTACATTGATAAACACCTGGTACTGACAGTAGTGTAATACGTCTGTAGTTTTCACATTTGCTCAGATCCCCTTTCTTTGGAATCCTGATGAGGTGTCCCTCTTTTCAGTCCGTCGGCACTTGTTCCTCCTCCTAAATCTTTCTGAACAGAAGGTGAAGCATGTTTGTAGTTACTTCGATGTCTGACTTCAGTGCTTCAGCTGGTATATTTTCAGATCCTGCTGCATTCCCGTTCTTGATTTGCCTGATGGCCATTCTGATTTCTTCCGTCGTTGGTGGATTGACCTCTATAGGAAGATCTGTGTGTGCTGCTTCGATGTCCGGTGGATTCATTAGAGCTGGCCTATTCAGGAGTTCCTCGAAGTATTCCACCCATCTGTTCCGCTGTTGTTGAATTTCAGTGATTGGCTTACCTTCTTTGTCTTTGACCGGCCTCTCTGTTTTACTGTATTTCGCTGATAGTTTCTTCATTGTATCGTAAAGCTGTTTCATATTTCCTTCCCTGCCAGCTTTTTCCACCGTCGTTGCTAATTCTTCCACGTATAGCTTCTTGTCGGCTCTAATGCTCCTCTTCACTTGCTTGTTTGCTTCCATGTATTCAGCTTGTGCTTGGACTTTCTCTGCTCGTGTTCGGCTGTTGTTTATTGCTGCCTTCTTGTTCTTCCTTTCTTTGATCCTGTCCAGTGTTTCTATAGAGATCCATTCCTTATGATGGTATTTCTTTAGACCCAGAACATCTTGGCACGTTGAAGTTAATGCTCCTCTGACACCTTCCCAGCTGTCTTCCATACTAGTTTCTTTTTCCCTCAGTAGATCCGGTAAGGCTTGGAACCTGTTGTTGAGAGCTATCATGAATTCATTGAGTTTGTTAGTATCTCGAAGGAAGGTTGTATTGAACCTTTGTAGTGCTGTTTGTCCACTTGTCCAGTTCTTTTTTAGCTTCAGTTTTAAATTGGCTACAACTAGGTGGTGATCTGAAGCTACGTCAGCACCTCTCCTGGTTCTCACATCTTCCATTGTCCCTCGGAATTTTTTGTTGATGCATATATGATCTATCTGGTTCTCTGTAGTGTGGTCCGGCGAGATCCATGTGGCCTTGTGTATACGCTTGTGTGGAAATATTGTGCCTCCTATGACTAATTTGTTGAATGCACACAAATTTGCAAATCTTGCTCCATTTTCGTTTCTCTGTCCCAGTCCATGTCGTCCCATCAGAATAGTTAGGTCCTTTTTGGGGCATTTCTCAATGATTGACTGCAGCCGCTCGTAGAACTGATCTTTAATGTCGTCGTTGCTATCATTGGTGGGTGCATAACATTGCATAATATTCATTAAGATCCCCTCCTTCTTTGTTTTGAATGATGCTTTGATGATTCTGGATCCGTGAGATTCCATCCTACAAGTGCATTTCGTGCTACTTTGAACAGCATTAGAGCGACTCCCTGAGTGTGTGGAGCATTTTCCTCTTCGTGGCCGGAGTATAGCATCATCTCTCCCGTATTTAGCCTTTTATGTCCAGCTTGGGTCCAGTGGGTTTCGCTGATTCCCAGTACTGCCAAATTGTATCTCCTCATTTCCGTTGCTATTTGACTAGTCTTCCCGGTCTCCCACATTTTCCGGACGTTCCATGTACCTATAAAAATTTTTGCTCTGGTTGTTAGAAGGGGCATCGGCCTCGTAACTTCCGAAGGAACTGGACTTTCACCATGAGGCGTCATAATTCTTCCAAAGGAAGACCTTCTAACTCCCAGGGCAGAGTTAAAATGGTTTGAATTATTTTTTCTGGTAAGCGTTTTTTTAGTGAGTCAGTTTTCTACGGGATGAGGTTGCTAACCACATGCATAACCCTCCTCCTTTATCCGGGCTTGGGACCGGCAGTAACTCTAGAAGAGCTTAAGGTGGAGTTAACAATAAATATCCATCAGTCCAATTCGGAACATCAAATAGTACATCTAGAACCAATTGATAAACGAGATAACCTATGGATTGTATTTGTAAAACTTATTATAACAACTACACTGCAATTTTATTTCAAAGGTGTAGATTTCCAGCCAGAAAATACTGACGGTAGTACATCATTTAATATGTATATTTGTGATAAGTCTTGCTAACTGAATGCTAGATTTAGTTTCTAAGCTGTTCTATTAACCCCCAGACTAGATCTACACAACGACTTGAACACCAGAGGAAAGATGCAAAATATATAAGAAACACTTTACTTCAAAGGTTCGTTTATGTACAGAAAATATAGGGTTTTTATAGTATTTTAAATGTTCTTGAATTCTCCAAAAATTCTGGAACTCTATTAAACATAGTAGCGGTACAAGTAATCATCCAATCAGAAAAGCAACATGTAACATTTCACTTTCTAGATGTATCTTGCAAAGCTTCTATTGAATACTGACTGAATAAGATGCTTCCCAGTGTCTTCAGAGACTCATTTGGCTTTTTTCGAGGAGTTTTTTGGATAGCCCCAACAATTTGTAATTAAAACAATCGGATCTCTATAAATATTTCTCGTTTACTAATCGAAATCAGAATTAATCAATATAGAATACGATGGAGTTAAAAAGCAAATCGATATACATAACTCTAATTATGTAATTGTGGAGAATATAGAATTTCATTGAAGTAATGAGCCAATTTAACTTAGACCATCATTGAAAGCCTGAATATGCATTGCTGAGGATCCCCACGCTAGAACCAAACGGAAATCCAATGTTTCCAGGTTTTGGATTTTGATCTAACTTAGGTCGGTTCATGAGTTCAATGGGACATATATAGGTGTATAAAAGTAATAGTTGACGTCTTTTTAGCAAAATTTTGTTCTCCGGGATCGGGTTGCTGACCCCATGTCCAACCTTCCTCCCTTATCCGGGCTTGTGACCGGTAATAACTCCGAGAGAGCTACAAGCGGAGTTTGTGTAAAAGTACTTTTATTAAAAGCGAAAAATAACACATCGCAAATTAATTTTGTTGAATCCAATTTTTCTCATGTGTAGAAAAACTTGTCCAACTACTATTAGGAAACATAGATTGACAGTTATTCATCAGTTTTATAAATATGATCGTGGAAGTGTAAGACTTAGTGAAACCTCTATAAAAACGAATTTTTCACGTAAGCTACTGATAAATAATTTAAGTAGACAAAACTTAAATTAAGAATTATTATGAAGTCTATTATCGCATTACCATAATTCAGGTTTGTGTCCTGAATTAACTTATAATGTATGTCAGAAGGGACTTTGTGGAGATTTTAGTAATTTCAATAGCTGACATTATGAGTCAATTGAAGCTAGACCACCATGGAAAAGCTGGGAGCATTGGACGGCCGTTTCGTCCTAATATGGGACTCCTCAACAGTGCGTATCCACGGTTTCAAAACTCATCAACAATTTCTAAACAAAATTCTATTTGTTTCTCAGCCTTTTCACTTTACGAAGACAAAATATCTAACTTTCCTGGTATGGGATTCACTGTTCAAGATCAGCCTCGTTCTTTGTACAGGTGTTTATTATGAGTGAGTCAATTTTTCGATACTACAACTCTTTTTCCTAAAAGAATCACAGAAACAACACAAACAGTGAAGGATTACCTAGTTGCGATCAACTAGATATTTCAGATCAGAATGATTAACCTCTGTACACTAGCTATTTGTAGAGAATCTCAGATATCAAGAAACAATGAAAGGTTGTTTTATCCTAATATGTGACTCTTCTGAGGTGTGCATCCACGACCACACAAGAAGTCAAACCCCAGATTTTTAGTCGTTGAGGTGAACTTTAGATCAACAAGTTAGATATTGTCAGTATCATCTCTGGTAGTTATTAAAGAACACTTGCTACAATGTAGATATATTCAACCATCCAGAAAAAAGATGAGATTAGTCAGCCATTTGTTTCAAGCTCATGAGGAAGATAAATATAGAACACACTGGCACCATTGTAACTGATTTCGACATCCTTTACTATGTATTCTGATAATTAGATCAGTAGCAATGAAACGTAAATAGTTTAAAGTATTTTTTTTCATAAAAATATTGCATTTTATTCCATTCAATTTTAAAAATGTCATTAGACAAAGAAAAAGCGATAACCGAATTGATAAAACAAGACAAATATTATTCTGATTGACATCATGAACCGATTGATGTTAGACCACCATTGAAAACTTGAAAGCACTAGATAGCCATTTCGTCCTATTATGAGACTCCTCAGCAGTGCACATCCACAATCCCGATCGTGGGATTCGAACCAAGGACCATCCGTCTCAAACGCTTAACCTCTGTAAACCACTGAGTCGGCATCTAATAGTGTTAATGTCTATCCTCAACCAAATATTATTCACATGTACACAATGTAACCAATAATTCTAAAGAGAAAAAAACACATGTATGTATGCGTGTGTATGTGACACGTTCACATCCATGATTGTATTTATCAGAGTTACAAGTAGATTAATTAGCAGAGATAGATAGAAACACTGAATGGATAGACAATTGAAATCATACCATTTCTACAACGTAATAAGTTCCTACAATTTGTACAATGAAAATATATTTTTTTGCACAAAACAAAAGAAAAATAGAAAAGAAAAAAGAAAAAAAGGAAAACAAACATTAGCAACACTTATTAATGATAATACAAAAAAAGAAAACAAAGAGAAAACTAAAGCGAATACATTGAGCAAAACAAATCATTTATTTTACATTCAATTTGCAATACTACCAGAAAAGGGGAGAGAGAGAGGGGGGGAGGAGAACAAAGCAACAGTCTAGATATGTAACAATTATATTGAATATACTCCAATTAAATTGATATTTTTAATGTAAAATTTCTCTAAATTGTGTATGACCTGTTAATTGTGCATGTTTTTGTGCAGCTTCTTGACCAATTAATGGTGCATCACATTGTCGACAAAGTAATGTAAATGATGAAAGATCAGTGAATGCCCATTCAGCACGAGCTTTTGATGCTAATTGTTGAGCTTCAAAAAGAATCTATGTATAAAAATAACAATGGAGAGAGGGGGGAAGAATAATGAAAATTTTGTATTATATTAAAAGAAATTCACTTAATGTTGTTTTACTTGTATCTTGCCATTGTTTTTATTTAGGACAGCAATTGATCAGTTTCATGTTGACATATGTGCATCCTGTGCGGATTGCTTTGATATAGCCTTAAGTCACAAGCTTTGGAAAAACACAAATAAAACAATACCAAGTGAATTTAAAACTTCACCCCATTGCACAAGCAGGTGGTTATCAGGACTCAGTAACTAAGTGGATAATGTGATGGAGTATGAAGCGAATGGTACTGGGTTCGAGTCCCACAGTGAACATCAACTCTCTGAGATGCAGATACATCCAGCTGACGAGTCCCAAATAGGACGAAACGCGCGTTCTGGACTCCAATGCTAGCCACTATCTATCTTTATTAAAAGAAATGGACACATCTTGTGTCAAAGAGTGTCGTCAACTAGTGCCAAATGGGAGGTTTTTCCCATTGTTATAGAGTAGAATTTCTTGATTTGATCAAACAATTTTTGATAGTTAAAATGAATGGATAGAATGTGAATTGAGAGATTATATACAGTGATACGATTTATGGGTGAGTGATAGCTGCTAATACGATTGGACTACTGACATAAGCGTAAGATATTTGACAAGTGGACGGTAGGAGAATAAATCATTTATTCACTATCCGATGGAATTAATAGATAATTATCAAGCGTAATTCATGTTCTGTCATATCACTTATCGATTATCTTCTCTTTCATTAACATAGTTTAACGCCATATTGGGTCACATGTGACTAATGGTCAACATTATGACTAGATCGATATGTTGTTAAGTTATAGTTTAGTGGTAGGGAATATTTCTAATATTTAATCACTAAGTTGAACCCTGCTTGTACTACCATCTTTATTTCACTTTGGGTAACGGTGACAGGTGTTACCAATCAACATTCCCAAACATTATGAATCGAAGCCAACTACAAATACCTGTACTCGATAATGAGTTACATAATTATGAATTAAATTTCATTGATAAGGTAGGTTAGTGGATGAAAACGTGTAAGATTTGTTTGAACTATCTGAGAAGATAACATTTTATGAACTTATAAATGAATTAATCATTCCTACATAACTTCAACATAGCCCCCAAATGCCCTGGTACGGTTGAGAGTGGAGAGAGTCAACTCTCCCTCTCCAAATGCTCTCACATGGCCTCGTGCATACAACCACTACCACGGAAGTTCTACTCACCGCCCACTCGCACCACCCGTGTTGTTTACGAAATTGAGAGGACGAAAAGTGAATGTCCGGAGCTTGAACCGGATTGGTGAACACGGAGAGTCCACATAGGAGAGTTGGAAAACCCTCATTCCAAACCAATCGTGCAAGTAGGCTCCAGGACCCCAAGGGAACAAATGACGTATAAACCAATTATTGATCACCAGCTACCATGGGACTACATCTCCTTACGTTACTCCACTGTTATGTAGGTTAGACCTTTAGGTGAAAGGCCCGGGGTGTGGCCTCCTAAGAAAACAACCTGCTTCTGTTTATGAACCCGGGCAGTATCCTATCCCTCACACAAATCACTCGATTTTTTTGGCGCATATCTATTTGGTGCCTTCTTGTACCTATGTTCATGTGTTTAAATAAATAAGTAATAAGTAAACTTCAACATTAATTATTTACTAGTTCTACTGTACAGAAGTAATACCCTAGAGACTATTGTGACAATATTAGCAATTTACGAGCTCATATATCTACTGTCTTTAGAAGTCATGCTTCAATCTCATAAAATAGTACAGGATAAATTGCTGTGTAATATACTTGATTTCTAAAAGGCAAACGACTATGTCTACTATGTCATAAACAATAAAAGCTAACATAATCCAAGTGGATGTTTTATACTGACACTGAGAGTATGTCAGCTCAAAAAGGTTTCCAAAAGGAAAGGTGAGAATGATCAATTAACATATTTGACTAATTCACTTTCTATGATTAAACTAAAGGACTGATGAAAGAGTTTATATAATTACAAGAAGATGTTTATACAAAAAAGAGAATACACATATGCCCCCAAATGCCCTAATACGGCCGAGAGTGGGAAGAGTCCGCTCTCCCTCTTGAAATGCTCTCACACGGCCACGCGTATATGGCCTCTGCCAGGGAAGTCCTACTCACTGCCTTCTCGTGGCATTACTGTTGTTTACGAAAATGAGGGGACGAAAAGTGAATGTCCGGAGCTTTAACCGGATGCCAAACCAAATCAATGATGCACATGGGCTCCAGTACCCTGAGGGAACAAATAACGTATAAACCAATTATTGATCACCAGCTACCATGGGACTGCATCTCCTTACGATGCCCCACTGCCTTGTGGATCAGACCTTCAGGTTGAAGACTCGAGGGGTGACCTGATAAGAAAACCACCTGCTTCGGTTTGGGCACCCGGGCAATATCACAGCCCTCACACATATCGAATGCGATTTGTGTGGCGCATATGTATTTGGTGCCTCCTTGTACCAATATCTATGTGTTAAAATAATAATATGAATATGAATATATTGATTAGAATAAAATGTAACACACACACACATACTGAATCATTATTTGATGAAAATACAGTTATTAAACAATTACGATTTGGACATTCTTGTGCTAATGGATCATAATGTATACCATCATAAATTAATAAAATTCTTTTAGGATAATTTTGATCTTCACCAAAACGATCAATTCGACATGATTCAATATCTACAATACATATTTCAATTTTATATAATTGTGATAAAATTGATACTTCAATACCTCCACCCCATTTATCTGACTGAAATGTCAAGAAAAATAACGAGAGAGAGAGAGAGAAGAGTACTGCGATCACTATTAGGTGAATGAATTGTATTATTTAAAGATGAAAATATAATACATGTTTACAATTCTGAGACTCTGTGGTGATTACGTATGCGTGAAAATCGACTACCACGACGCGCAATGCTGACTAGTGTTTGGGGATAGTTGGAGGAAAGTTAGGGTCGGCCAAATCAAAACGTGGCATCAGTGCTTGAAGTCACTAACTTATAGTCTGAGCCATGTTGGTAGATACAGGTTACTTGGTTGGGGTCCGCGTGACTATCTTAACCAATGGTTGGAGAGCCTTGGTGACATGGCTCAGAATCGATCACAATGGCGTCGCTGTATACACTCCCTGTCTTCCCTTAAACTAAGAGATTAAAATCCCTTCATATCTTTCTTTCTACGAACTAATTCTTTCTTCTTGTACTATATCCTTATATGCAATCTTTCTTTTATACATTACCACGATTGAATTAACTACCTCTATGAATTTGGTGTTCGTCTTGTTGTGCTAACAAGTTATGGCGACTTGGACCGATGCATATATGTGTCTGGTCCTACGTTTTAGGTGACTGACTGACTAAAAGGGAGCATGATGACTGAAAGATTTCAATGGTTCTAAGGTATGATTTTTGTAGAATTTAAAATTAAGAGATAGTCATTCATCTCAATCCATGACGAGTACCATTTGCAAATCGAGTTAATTGACACAATCTACCCAACTAAATAATTAACATTTATCAGTAAGGGAAAGTAAAGAGTTCACGTGCGAGACCAAGGTCCTGGGTTTCAGTCCCGCATGCGCAATCATGGATACGTACTACTGAGGAGTTCCATACTGCGACAAAACGGCCATCTAGTGCTTCCAGGTTCTCCATGGCAGTTTAGCTTAGACCGACTCATGAATTCAACTGTTAAAAATATCATTTACTTTTCTTTTCCCTGAAGTTTTTGTTTTTTCATGATTATAATAAGGTATGTACCTGTATATAACCCCTTAACAATCTTTGTGATTATAGATTTAGTAGTGGAAGATAAAGTGTCAGACAAAGGACTCAGTGTGCATTATTTTCTACCCAGAACTCACTATCTGGATGTAACAGCATGCACTGAATACAGTACTTATCGCCATTATAGTGGAACAGTGGCTCAGTGGTTAAACTGTCCAACTTTCAGACAATATGTCTGGGGTTCGAACCCCACTCTGCCTACTTTGGTTTGAGAGGCCGGGATTTGTCATAAATTCTCACGCTTAGAATGTAACCAGAAGCTATGTACATGAATCTACACGTAATGAGCCGATATTTTATAAGATTCCCTGATTAGTAAAATCCGGTATGGACACACAACTAAGTTGTCATTTTAACTACCTTCTCTTGATAGGTTAGTTTCATTATTACGTCAATATACCAATGGACCCAAAGCAAAGTAGTCTGTCCACCGAACTACGATCATAATCCTAAAGCTAACTGGGACGAATCACACCATTAATATATGATTACTTTATATATCGTTTAGCCAATCCTAGCAATTCTTCGAACTTATTCGTAACCAAAGCCTTTAGCGTACATTTAGACAGGCAGTGTTTAGAATTATGTAACGCATAAATAAATTATTTATAATCACCATTAATTGCTAGATAAATAAAGTTAGCGTTGCTTAGTTAATGAATGCTTTTGACCTAAATAAGTCTTTTGTATATGAACCATGTGATATCATGCTTCTTATATACAAAGGTTTGAAGAATGGGGTGTGGCCCCCTAAGAAAACCACCTGCTTCGGTCTGGGCACCCGGGCAGTATCACAGCCCTCACACAAATCGAATGATTTATGTGGCGCATATGTATTTGGTGCCTCCTTGTACCAATGTTTGTGTTTAAATAAATAATAATAAAGGTTTGAAGAACAGGTGTGTAGTTGAGCGTGTCGATCGCTTCACTTAGCTTGGAAGTTTCATCAGCCCTTGTGGTCTGGTATTTGGCGAAATCTCAGCATGGATGCAGAGGGCTCGACTAGCTTTTGCCAACTTGCGTCATTTATGACGTAGGCGAGATTATCCGTCAACCAACCAAAGGACGTGTTTACTGTGCAGCAGTTCGTTCCGTCCTACTTTATGGCAGTGAAACATGGCCGGTAAGAGTAGCGGATATCCGTAGGTTACTAGTATTTGATCATGGGTGTCTTCGAAATATTGCTCGTATATCCTGGGACCACCGAGTAAGTAATGCAGTTGTTAGGAAATGGGTACTAGGTAAGGATGGGAAATCAATTGATGAAGTAGTGAAACATCATCAATTGAGATGGCTGGGACACGTGTTATGTATGCCCAACCACCGACTACCCCGACGTGCAATGTTTTATTGTGTAGAAGTAGGTCGGAAGAAAGACAGGAGCGGCCAAAACATTGCACAAATTCATGAAGTCACTGATAGGTGGACTGAACCATGTTGGTAGGTGTAGACTACCTGGTTGGGATCCGTTAGACGGTAGCAACCGATGGTTAGAGACCTTGAATTACATGGCTCAAAATCGTTTGCAATGGCGCAGGTGCATCTATGTTCTAATCTTCTAAATTCTTCTTGTCCCATTTTTTCTCTTTCCAAATTTATTTTACTGGATTATACTCCTAGAATAACATCTTAAAACCCTAATCTTTCCGATTACTACTTATACTTTTACTACCTGTACCACTATGGGATTTGAATCGACAATTGTGTCTGTGTGTTAATGTGGTATGGCAACTCGAACTGATGTACGTACGTACGAAGTTCTACGTTTTTGAATAACTGACTCTTCCAATTTTCACTGAAACTGATGTCCAAAAAGGTCCCCAGTCAGTTAACTCATCCAATTGTTCGGGACCTGAAGAAATCCAAAACCTCCTTTTTAAGAAATGTGACATTTTGTCCTCCATTCACGAGCATCTTTAACGAATCCTTCTCAAATAATCTTATACCAAAAATGTAGAGAACGATTAAGATAATCCCAATACCTAAGAAAGTATCTGCTGATAAGGATGTACAATTTAGATCCATAGCAATAACCTTTTCACCTTTTGTTAAAACAATGGGAAAACTAATGCTACTCCCAATTCAACCTGGGCTAAAAGTACATATGGATCTACATTAGTTTGCCTACAAACACAAAAGAGGTACCTTATATGCTGTTATTGTTCTGTATTATGATAGTGTTCAGCTTGGGGAAGGGTAAGAACTATGTTCGATGCGAATTTTATCTTTGAATTTGTCCTAAAACAACTACTACTGAACAGGTTTGCGAGCGTCAACATCAACAGTTGGACAATCAACTGACTAGGTTTTTATCTCCTTAGTTAGGTATACACATGAAGTATTCTATCATCTTCAATATATCACAGCATAGAAAATTTAAGAATCATTAGCATTTTGAATTAAAAACACACAGATCAAACACTCAACAATTCATAGTAGAAATTATTCAGTACTCTGTGATTATTTTGTTTAGTCAGTCAGAAAATATCTACATCCTACTGCTATTAAATAGAGTCGAAAAATGGTTGAACAGATGCAAATAAGCTAATAGTTAAACTATAATAATGCCCCGAATTGCCCTGGTACGGCTGGAAGTGGGGAGAGTCAACTCTTCCTCTCCAAATGCTCTCATATGGCCACGCGTATATAACCTCTGCTAAGGAAGTCCTACTCACTGCCTTCTCGCATATGTATCTGGTGCCCCCCTGTACCAATAACATATTAATTTATTAGGGTATACCGTGCAAAAATCAGAGAGCCAGTTCTTTAAGTATGGATTAACAAAATCATAAACTAACTTAAGGTTACTTAAAATATAACAACAAATAGAAATATCACCATAAATTGTTACTGAACTCATTAATAAACAAAAATCGATTGAGCTACTATATAAGGAATATAAGATTTTCAGGTGAATAGTGATCTTAAGAAAAGAGGGTAAAGATGCTAATAGTATAATGTGTAGCTAACATATGGCATAAGTGGAACGATGTCATATGATGGTACTTACAAAATATAGAAACGACTATCACATGATCAATTAAGGTATAGTTCACAAGAAGAAATAGGGTAACTATTTTTTAATATACATATTATATAAATGAAGTGATCAACACGTTAATATTGCTTTTTACGTCCATTCCCACTATGCTTAAGAATAAATCTTGAAAGACCATAGTAACTGATTACAAAGTGTTTTCGTCATACCTCAGAAACCTTCTTGAAGTTAATGATGAATGAACGTTTGAAACTTGGAGAGACTAGATTTCACAAAAATACGGTAGAATTCCTCTTATCAACCTAATGTATGTCCCTAACTTCTAAGATCAAACAACTTCTAAACAGTATCAAAGGTGTCCCACTTTTTAGTAAACGTATTATGAACTTTGTTATACGTAGACTTATCTTCTCCACGATACTAAAACCACGACTAACTTCCTTATGTATTGAAATTTTTTTTCAATACAAAGAATGAATGCGAATACAAGTACCCAAAAGCATTTCAAAGTAATCTTGACGGTGACGATAATCAGATAACTCAGCGTCATTCATTCAACTTCTATATGACTGCATAGCATAAAATTCAGGATCAAAGAAAACTCCCCCTCTTGTTACAAATATATACAAATTACGATGCACCTTTTCTTTTATCACAATGATTATTAGTTAATACAATTATTAAATGTGATTTAATTCATTTAACAAGGACAAGCGTATGTAAAACACCTTTGAGTCAAACTTTAACTGTGTCAGCGGTTTGTCAGTTATTCATATCCAAAATAAAATTGGGCACATCGGTTCAAGTTGCTACATTGCATTCACGCAGCTAGATAAAATTATAGCGGCAAATCTCATAATACCAGAAGTAATAATAATATTAGTGGTAGTAGAAAAAGATTAGGTATGGAAAGTATAAGATTTTGGGACTCAAGACCTAAGAGAAAATAAAAAGTAAATGCACTTGTACCATTGTGAACAATTTCGAGCCACATTACTCAAAGTCCTTAATCATTCGTTACGATAATGGTGCGGGCTCAACTACGCAGTTTGAACCTACCTAAATGGTTCATTCCGATTATCAATGACTTTGTAGGCTCATGCTGCGTTTAGGTTTGGTCACCCTAGCTTTCTTCTACAGTACTCTTATACCAGCCAACATCGCACGAGGAGGTGAGGGAGCTAGCGATACTACCTAGCTCTCCCCATACTACGTTAGGTGGGATATGACTAGGGCTTGTAGCCTACTAGTTCAAAACTAAGTGATTTATTCAGTGTGTCGTCGCTCCACAACTTTTCGTATAAAAGACAAAAAAAGGAATAAGCAAAGCACTCACAAAGCAAACATCATCATTTGCTTACTTGTCTAATTTGAAGTGAATATTGTTCATTTGACATCCCGAGGAATGCTTCAGAATACTTGACTGGATCGCTTAACACAATACCGGAAATTAATTCTCTTAAATTACTGACTTCAGCAATATTTGTTACAACTTCTGTACCAATTTTTAAATGATTGTCTTCATTATTCATACAGAAAAGAACACTTGTAAATAGACAAGAATTATCAGATGGTGCAGATAATCGGACAATATGTGATTCAGATTGTTTATCAGTGATTATTTCATGTTCATGAGGTTGATGATTTACAGTTTGTGAGTTGACATTTGTTGGTTTTTCTTCCGTTACATCAACAGTAAGCATGTCACCCGAACGAAGAGGGATCTGCAGATTCATATATCATTTTTAAAAATAAGACGATTTTTATTAATAGACTAGATTACAGTGCATTAAGTGTATCGAATATTTCGCACAGATATATGCATTACCGTGATATATACGTGGATGTGAAGGGGCAATGACGATTCCAAACAATCAAAACAATGACTGATAATCAAGAGTGTAAGCTATAAAAGTCAGACCAAAAAGGTAAGTAACATTGAAGACACTGGTTTGAGACTTGTTTACTTTCCTTACTAAAGACTATCCTGAATAATTTCATCATATAGTTACATTTCATTAAAAAGTAGTTTCTTTTTTACAAAAAATGACATTAAGTGAGATACTGAAAAATGGGTACTGTTGGATATGAATATTTTCATTCTTACTTGGGGATAAGAGACTGAAAAACCTACAAACAAATTTTCTCCGATTGCTTATGAGATTTTATTATATGCCTATACTTGTATATAAGGATGTCCTTTTATTGCCCCCAAATACCCTGGTACGGCTAAGAGTGGGGAGAGTCAGATCTCACTCTCCAAATACTCTCACATGGTCACGTGAATACAACCACTACCAGCGAAGTCTTACTCACTCCCTTCTCGTACCACGTGTGTTGTTTAAGAAATTCAGAGGACGAAAAGCAAATGTCCGGAGCTTTAACCGGGTTGGCGGACACGTAGACTCCACCTAGAGGAGTTAGAAAACTCATTCCAAACCAGTGGTATACATGGGCTACAGGATCCTGAAGGAACAAATGGCGTATGTACCTATTATTGGTCACCGGCTACCATGAGACTGCATCTCCTGATGTTGCTCCATTGCCTTGTGGATCACACCTTGAGGTCGAGGGCTCCGGGTGTGGCCTCCTAAGAAAACCACCTGCTTCGGTTTGAGCACCCGTGCAGTATCCCAGCCCTCACATAAATCGAATGATTTATGTGGCGCATATCTATTTGTTGTTTTCTTGTACCAATGTTTATGTGTTTAAATAAATAAATGAATAATGCTATTTTATTACGAAAAATCTTAATCAAGAGAGCTTCTATAAAATTAGACTTCTTACTTTAGTTAGCGGACAAGGGAGAAGAGGATAGAACTCCAATTAACTTTATCGAAGTTCGAGTTGCGAAATAGCAGCTTGGTGTACGAACGTATAAGAGATACAAATGCCACGAGAGGAAAGTATACACACTACATGTAAGTGGAGAGAGGGGTTAGAAAAGGTTGATTTCAAAAATAAAACACATTATCTTTCACCACAGATTATCGATGAAGATAAGAGTTGTAAAGTGCAAATGGAGTGTATTAAAGACTATCCATAAAAAAGTTATATGTGGCTGACCTCAAATAGTTGTCTCTCGGTCTTTGATCATGCCTCAAGACCACCTCTAACCCAGTCTGCTTTTCAGGTGCCTCAGAAGTAATTATTCTCCTAAGGCATAGGTAATCAAGGAGTGATATATATATATATATATATATATATATATATATATATATATATATATATATATATATATATATATATATATATATATATATATAATGTACCAAATCACTTCTAGTATAGATGAATTTTTTTAAAAGGTTATACGACTAACCTCCCAGAGATGTTTACTAAGACTTGAAATGCTACAATCCAACTTTTGGGGAGGATAACCATAATAAAGTGATATACGAGATTGTGTAACACCTACAAGTGAAGTAATTGTTTGAAGTAGTTCATTGATGGTTGAATCAGAAGTTAAATCACTCAAAGTATACTGTCCAGTACGAAATCGACATCGTAATTTTAACAAATCTTTGGAATTTAATGGACATGCTTGCATTTGCACAACAATGAAGTAGTTATCTGACTATATACCTAAAATAAATGAGAAATGAACAAACAGTAGATAATGAAAGGTATAGCACAAAAGAAAGGAACTAAGCAAATGCTTCTATTTACAAATCTTTATTTACAACATCTTTTTCAAGGTATTTTGCAACTAACTCAATAACATCAGGTTTCATGAATGCATCTACAATCTGTTCGAAGTTAAGGGTATTAACAACATCGGATGTGGAATTTTCTTCTGAAATACTAAATAAACTGTCTAGCTTTTCTGAAGTTAAAGGTGTCCAATTGATGATACTAGAAAACCTAGCTTGTTTTGAAGGTTCTTCTAGATTCTCTTCTCCATTGGAAGACGATTCATTTGGATTTTGATGAAAAAGTATATATAGATAATCCAATAGTTGTTTAAACCAAAACTCATTTTCATATGTTGCTTGTTCAGATGGATGTAATAAAACTTTATGATCACTGCGATCATAATTAGATAACAAAGAAAAGCCGACTAATTGTGTGAGACATTCTCTAAGGCGTGCTTTATTATCAAGTGAAGGTTGGTCAATCCATAAGTTTACTGAACAAGTAAAATCATATTCAGATGATGATTCAACAAAATGCCACCAATTTCTTGGGACAAAAAGAATATCTCCTGGATAAAGTGTTACAGGATAGGGAGTTGTTTTTAATATGAGAGGATGTTTTTTGCAGTTAGGTAATATGAAATTAACTTTGCTAAAAACAGTAGATTCTTCTAAAGGTAATCGAGTTTCATACATATGTGGGCTATCCGAAGGTGGAAATAATATCCAGCGTTTGGACCCTTTGATTTGTACTACCAGATTAACTCCGTAGGTATCTCGATGACAAATGGTATGAGCTTTAGACGATCCAAGCCAAAATGTTGGACTGATATTACTTTTTAGAAACGGGAACAATTCTTGGAACGATAAATCTTCGACTAAACCTTGAAAATCAGGTGACTGATTCATATATATGTAATCCGCATAAGCCCACCAAGATTCTTTAGGGTACTTAGAAAAAGGATTACTCATATTGTCTACTCCATTTATCCATTCATTAAATTCTGATAATGTTGCATTAACAGACGGACAAGATGTCTCCCACTGTACTTCGATACTTTCTTTTTTAGCCAGACGAAATTTCAAGTTACTTTTTATTCTCCCTGACAGATAATGCAGATCCCACTTTTGGCAGGCTTTCCATGTACAGGCACCATTTTTAGCAACATAAGGATGTTGAGGATTAGGAAATTGTGAGAGTAGGATTTCAGCAATATCCATCTAAATTAGAAGTTTAAAATAAACTCGTAAACCATGTTGTAACACTAATATCACTAAAGTCTGCTTAGCTGAAGCTCAGGAAACATAAAGTAAAAAGTTTGATTTAACAAAATATTTCGTGTAACTAAAATCAACTATATGATTTTACCATTTCTGTAGGAAGTTGAACAATGTAAACGTGCACTAAGAAAAAGCAGACGGTTACAAGCTATTATTAGGTGATTCGAGGTAATTAGCAGGAAGTCCTAAACTTGGATTTTGTGCTAGTTGTTACTCGCTGGCAAGACGTATTTGAATTCTTGAGGGTACCGATGCTATTCATAATTTGAGCTGACATCACCCCATGTCATAAAAAACGAGCTATTCGGGTAGCTATTAGAGTCCTGTAGGACAGAAATTTACACTGAATGATCGCTGACCAATTACGTGCGATTTGTACGTATTTGCATAAGAATGAAACAGCCTAGAGAGTCATAATCAACGTATGACTATGAATAAAAAATACATTGACCTGAACTGCTGCATCACTTTAGCAAAGATGAAATTAGCAAGGTAAATAACAAATAATTCGACATAATATTAGTATTAATGATACCAAAACTTAACATAGCGAACATGGTTTGAAGAGAAGGAGCGAAATAAAAAAGTTAAAATCTGACTCGTCTGAAAACAGTTCAGAGGACCTCTGCTTAGACAATTTGGGAGACAATCGGATTATCTGGATGGCTGCACAAGTTAAACTTTTTCATATTACCCTACCGCATATTAAGAACTGGATTATTTATAATGTACATGACACTCAATTATTTCGGACCTGATATTGTCTGTCCCCTCCCCGCAACTAATTCAGAACAACTTGGTACCATAGGATAGTTTGAAATTCTAAGAACGATTGAGCCCGTCTGGAACAACTTTTTACACACAAACATACGGGACTTTGGAATTCATGTAGAGCCATTGAAATATGACCGGGCTTTATATAAATCATCTGGCATTCGAGTCACTGAATATCAAACAGCTTGCTGACCATCGTCAATATCAAAGACACCCAACGTGCATCAATTAACTGCAGTGGTCATACTCTGTTCTTGTATCTATTCTTACTAATACATTCCTGTTATGACGTTGTTTTAGTTGTACAGTCATCAACAACAGTACCTGAATACGATTGAAGGGCAATCCATGTTAGCTAATAACCGCGAGATGTGATTTTGAAGTAAGCTGGGAAGCCACGACATTCTCGTTCAGGCCGAGTAAGCCCCAGATCATCGACACATATCGCCGACGTTGACAACCTACACTGGCGAGTAAGACTTTGAGTAACGCAACCTGTTATTATCTTTATGGTTGCATTCTATACTCACTTCTATCATCGCATAGGTTTGTCAGTTACTGCAAACATTCGCTGCTTTATATTAATGTCGATTAGTATTCACACTTAACTAACTAGTTTAATTGATCGAAATAGCTAGTTAACTTCGAATATAATCGGCCATCATAATTTTTTAACAAGCATTAGCAGTATGTAAATGCTCCCGCGTAATACGTCTGGTAAATATCTACCACCCGTAAGTAAAGTCACAAGGTAACATGAGCGCAACCTAATCTCCCGATTTCGGGGAAGTCGCTATAGAAAATTTTGTGTAAATTGCACAAAGACCCCGAAATGTCCCCAGATATGAGGAAGTCCCCCACAATGTTGGGGATTTCTCAATATTTTTCCAAAATAGGGAGACTAGGACATGTCTGTAACTTATTCGCTCATATAAGGAAGAGTCGATCAGCTATCAATTATAAATTCATCACCAACGTGCACAATTCTTGAGATTATATGCATACGAAAACATGATTGGAAGACTAACAGCTATCCGGGATTCGATCAACAAAACACATCTGAATAAATATAAATGACAATGGAAGTATGTCTAAATGTTTTATCCTCACTTTAGCAACCAATAAACAACTGTGGGATTTACTAAATGTCTGACATCAGTTGAAATGAATTGAAAAATAAATCTTAATCATGATTTGTTCTCACTAGTTTGCTTTTACTATAGTAAAAAGGATATATCATTATTACTGAAGACTATAGTCTTCACTATAGTGACGTCACAAACTTATTTCTGTTCAAAATTAAAGGACATTAAAGTCTTTTATGCATACCGATACTGTATATGTAACTGCCGTCATAAAAATATCTGAAAGTAAAGGACGCCACACTAAACTATGTAATGAACAATAAGATCTAGGTAATTCGCCTCATAATCCGTTATGTAGTGCAAAATATGTGTTTTTCAAAGCATAGGGTTTAGTTCCTAGTCCTAACTAGGAAAGTTCTTGAACTTTCATATGAGAACCTGAATACTCAAGACTACCAAACTCTCACGATCCCAACAAAAAAGAAAACCAACATAAATGATGCATTACCGTCCTTCAGGCAAGTGTGAGGAAGCCAATCAGATCCAAGGTAGTTGCTCGTGGATTGAGCGCGCGAGAATTAATATGAATTATACAATTTCCAATACCTTTGTGATATACTGTCTCTTTAGCTCCAGCGTTTTGTATTTAAAAACCTCTCCCAGGTCTTTGGCGTTGCTAAGTTTGATCTGACTACTCGGCTGAAGAAAACTTTTAGATTCTGCTGGACATAATTAAAATGGTTCAAAGAGTTCAAATGATTGTGGACGGAATAGAAGCAGCTTTCGCTTAACGGGCTTCCGTGTCTAGTAACAGGAGATCACCAATACCTTCAGGCAGGAACCTAGGTATATTAACGATAATAGAGGAAAAAAGAAATTGGTAAATCATAATAAGATGTTATCCATAGTCCTGTAGGGCCAGCGAAATGTCACTGAGCCCTAGCCAAATCATCCGGCAGTTAGGTCATTGAATATCGGACAGACCATCGATCCCTACCAAGTCCAAGGACAACCAACGCGCATCAGTTAATCGTACGCCATGGACTGGCTCATGCGGCAGTGGTCTTACTTTCGATTGTATCTACTTTAACTGATATGTTTCTGTAATGACGTCCTCTGTGTTGTACAGTCTTCAAAGCATCTATAGCACCTTGATACGTCAATGGGGTAGTCCACGTAAGGTTCTGACCACGAGGTGTGACTTCGACGTTAGCTGTTTCGTCACACCATTCCCGTCTAGTTCGAGTTGGTCTCCAATCATTTCGACATAGAGCATCTACGTTGGTGATCTACAGTCCTTAAGAATAGGTCAAGTTTCCTGGGGCGTCGCTTGGACTAGTTCAGTCGGCAGCGAACTCCAGCATTTGACAACTCTTAAAGAGTAGAATTCGTGTCTACAGTCCGTTCTGCTATGTTGTATCTCCAGTTTCTGGATGTTGCCACTTGGATTTGTACTGGGACTAAGCTTAGGTAGGTGTTTAAGAAAATGTCCAGAAGTGTTAACAATACTGTAAGCCATTAGGTCACATCTAGGACGCCTATACTCTTATGGGTAATGGTTGAGTGATTGGAGGCGCTCTTCATAAGGTTTAAATTTGAGTCCCGAACTGATTTCGTGGCTCACCTTTGAATACACTCCAGAGTGTCCTTATCCTTTTGGAATGAGGGAGGAAATACCATGTTTCTGTACTCTAAATGGGGACGAATAAAACTGCTGAAGATTATTTGGGAAGTTCTTCCGTCAAACTGGCCAAGAATGAGCTTCAATGTTACCAATGCAAGGTTTGCTCGAAAGGCATTCTTGTCACAGTTAGCGTACGACTTCATTCGTAGGATACCAGGACTCCTAAATCTTTTTCGACTCGAGATACTACTACAGAGGAGTTTCTTAAGTTGTAGTTGTAGTCTGCAACATGTCTCAGATAGACTACTTTACACTTTGAAGTGTTAAAGGAAAGTCCGTTATCGTCTGTCCAACTTTGAAGTCGGGTCAGATCCTCATGAAGTGCCTGTATATCGTCTTGGTTGCATATCTCTCTCCAAAGTTTCACGTCATCAGTAAAAAGTGATGAGTCTGACGACACCTATTGTGGGAGATCATTTACATAAATGAAGAAGAGAAGGGGTCCCATTATTGAGCCCTGGGGGACACCACTAGGACATTCCATGGCCTGAGACAAATTGAAGTTAACCCTCACCCTTAAATGTCTACTTTTTAGATATGAAATGAACCAGTCAATTAGAGGTAATTTGATACCCAATCGTTTGAGCTTATTGATAAGACATGTATGGTTGACCCTATCAAAAGCTTTTGAGAAATCAAGGTAAATGATATCAACCTTCTACTTGCGACCAAGGATGCTTGTCCATCCGTCCACCGCAATCAGCACGTTGGTTATACAGGAATGGCCCTTCCTGAAATCATGCTGTTGGGGTGAGAAGAAATTTAAGGATAGTAAATAGTCGTGTATACTATCACATATCAGGGACTCTATGATTTTTGAAGGCATAGAGGGAAGAGCCACTGGTCGGTAACCTGAAGGTTCGCTGCATCGACCTCCTTTGAAAATTGGTGTGATGTGAGCCAGCTTCCAAGTTTCCGGAAGTCTGCCTCGGCTTAGCGAGTGTGAGAACATCACGCCAATCGTTGTTGCTAGGATTGAAGCTGTCTCCCTCAGCATAGCAGAATGAACCATATCTGGGCCAGGAAAAGTGTCAATTCTCAAGTGCTGCAGTTTCCGGAGCACCAAGTCAGCGCTCAGATTCCCTTTGGAAAGTCCTTTGGAGTTGCAGATGAAACTGTCATCAGTATAGTTGATGTAGATCGGTTGAAATGTCCTGGAGTATTGTTCAGCAAAAAGGTTAGCGTCGTCGTCCTCGTTATTGGTCGGACCAATAGGACCTAGTAGTTGGGAAACTCCAGTTTTGGCTTGTCAAAGAGAGGCTGCACAACGAAATAAGCTTTTCGGATTAGAGACAAATTTACCCATAAGCTTTATCTGGTACTGAAGTCTGTCTTTTCTTAGAGCCTTCGTGCATATGTTCCTTATATGTTTGTATTGCCTGTACGCGCCGTTGTTG